AGTTCCTCATATCACTTTGTCACTGTCAAACAGGGGCAGCTGAGAAGGGGCGTAGCCAGGGCTGGCCTGGCTGCACCCCCTCGCCCCTGTTGCCATGGCGAGCACAGGGCGCCATTGGCAACAGGGGCGCCATGTGGCCAACACAGCCGCGGCTCGGCAGGGAGAAGAGGAGCGGCACAGGCTCCAGCTTCTCCTCGGATCCCCACTGCTCTCCCCCGCCTGTATGGACAGAGGACTATGTGTCCTCAATCTCTTTTTCTATTTCAAAAGGGAAATGTCAGGGGTCTGCTTAGACCCCTGATATTTCCCCGAAGCCTCCCAACAGTAAAAGAAAAAACACCCACACACATATTATTAGTCACGTGCAAAGACTAAAGATTTGTTTTGGACGAAATGAACAGAAACTACAAATGTTTTCATTAGTTTCGCCAAATGAAACTAATTTTTATGCTATTTTGGATTTGGCCACCAGCACATTCTGCGCATGCGTGCCGCCATCCTGGAGGTGGGGAGCATTACGTCACATGACGCCATGCTTGTGCAACGATGGGTGACATAACAAGTCTGTTGGGGGGTGTAATTTTCTGTTCTTGCCTCGGGCGCAAAAGGAGCTAGCTACGGCTCTGACACCTATAAATTTCCCTACCTAGATATTTACTTAAAGCGGACCTTCACCCATCTCATGAACTAGTTCTCTTCTAGTTCCAGCTTACAGAATTGGAAAACATATTAAGAATGGTACATTTTCTGTGACTCCTGATTGACCTTTTTCCTGATTCCTCAGCTAGGCAGAACTACTTAGGGATGCTCCGATGCCTTCTGAAATTGCCATGTCCCATTCCAGGAGGCACTGTTTTTATGTTCCTCTCCCACGCTGCCATATTAAAACGTTCTGCACATGCTCAGATGTGCCGCATGTCTCGATTACCTGGCAGAGACCAGCAGCAGATGTGCACATGTGAAGGATGTTTAAAGATTATGGCACAGGAGAGGGGTGGTGGGGCAAATGTTGATAGATTCAGGTTCCTCTTTAATTCACTTTTTGCAAAAAAAAATGCAGGGATCCCAACCTGAAAGAAGCACTTTCAGGGAGGTGTCCCTCTCATTTCAGGGAGGTGCCCTCTCCCCCCCCCCCTCATCCATGGAGGGGGATTAGGGGGGTCTGGGAGAGAGCACCCCCCGCCCCCCCCCAAATGATGGCAGATAGCACAGGAAGCAATAGCTTCTTTGCTATCTGCATGCTTTTTTTTTGTATTCTGGCAGTTGCAGTCATCAGAATAAAAAAATTAAAAAAGGCATACGAATGCATAGCTAGATTCCGATTGGCTATTGCACTTTGCAATAGCCAATAGCAAACTAGCTATTGCACCCGCCCTCTGCTGCTTTCAATCACCAGAAGAGGACCTGATAGAAAAATTCAGGTCCCTCTCTGCTGATTAACAGCAGCAGTGGGCGGGTGCATTAGCTAGTTTGCTATTGGCTATTGCAAAGTGCAATAGCCAATAGGAATCTAGCTATGCATTCGTATGCCTTTTTTTTTCTTTTCTGACTGATGGTCGGGCACGGCTCCCGATGTCAGAAAAGAAAAAAACAAAAACGATCGCACGGAAAGGTTTAATCTGCTCGATCGAGCAGATGAAACCTTTCCAGGAGAAAGTGTTTCTCTCCCGGGCGGCCGGGAGAGTTGGGATGTCTGAAAATGCACCGATGTCACAAAAAGAAAATATGTGCGTTTATTCACTTTTAGCATTGGAGACTGCAATACAATGCAGTCGTGATCAGTGGATCACACGTGCAATGCACAGACTCCTGCAGGCTCTTCCTCCAAGCCCTAGGTCTGTACTGAAGTATAGAGATTCAGTTATGGAACTAAGGAAGTAATTATTCGTTCACAGATGCGGTAACATCACTGCACATGTGTTCTATTGAGAACTACGAGTCCCTCTGCCATGGTTGCAGCTTTTCCATTCACAGGATCTGCGAATAGATGCTGAATTTAAAAATATACAGGACGTTGTGTGGAGAAGAACCCTGTGATTCAGGTGAGAGGGATGCATTTTGAGGGTGGGGGCCAAGTTCCACACTAAATATGAGTGTAACATAAAACTTTGTGAGAAAAGTAGAATTAGTCTTTAACTAACAGTTAGGATACTTTATACTGTTGGAACTTCTTGCACAGCCTCACAGAGAAACACAAGCACACAGTCTGATATGCATGCTGTACATGGCTTGTCTAAAACAGGAAGGAAGCCACAGCTTTATTCTTTCTACCTTATTTAATACAACAGAGACTATACGATAGATATAACAGAGCACTGCCATCTAGTGACCGAAATTGTATACTGCAGGAGTTATTGATATAAACACAGTAATGTCTATTCTAACATATATGCATCTAATTACCTTGTGGTGTTCACCAAACTGAAAACTTTTTTTGATATTTACTTAATATATATCTCTCTCTATACTCAGTAAATATCACATCTGGTTCAGTAAAACAGATGCAGTAAACATGACTCTTTTACTTAAAATTCTATACCTATTTAGAGTTCTACCAGTACATGTCATGTCCTTCGACCATTACACAACCTGTCATGTCCTTAGACTATTACACAACCAAATTAGATTTGTTTGGAACCAGCAGAAGCCTAGGTTCCATGTAGGGATGCACCTATACCATTTTTTCCAGACCAAGTACAAGTACAACTATTTTTGCTCAAGTACTTGCCGATACCAATTACCAATACTTTTTTTTCGTGTCATGTGACAGTTTTTCTAAAACAATACAGACTAATGACAGTGGTAGAGTGCCAGGGTCTAGACGCAGCTGCAACCACTGCAACCCTGGTAGTTCTGCCACTGACTGCAAGTTGTAGAGGGACTACAAATCACCAGGGCTGTGTGTGATCTCACAAGGGCTGTATGCGGGCTCACCAGGGCTGTGCGCGGTCTCACCAGGGCTGCATGCGGGCCTCAGCAGGGCTGCATGCGGGTCTCAACAGAGCTGGGTGTGGGTCTCACCAGGGCTGCATGCAGGTCTCACCAGGGCTGGGTGTGGGTCTCACCAGGGCTGGGTGTGGGTCTCACCAGACTGTGCGAGTGGAAGCGAGTCTCACCAGGGCTGTGAGGGCAGGTGCAGGACTCCCAGGGTTGTGCAGGCAGGTGTGGGACACTCCAGGGCTGTGCGGGAAGAAGGAGGAGATGTTTGGCCAGATAGGCACTGTAAACAAGGCGCCGAAAGGCTGCTGTGAGTTCCCCAGCAAGCGTGGGACCTTACAGCAGCCACTTGTGCTTAACAATTTAATGCACCAGTGTCGGCGATTAGTAGCGGGGCATTTTTATGAGTACGAGTACTCTGAAAATGCCCAGTATCGGCACCAATACCAATACTGGTATCGGTGCATCCCTAGTTCCTTGTGTATACTATGTATTAAGCTATTGACTTTATTTTTACTACTGTGAAGCAAAGCATTGCTAGAGCATAGAAATCTCCCTGCTTGAGTTTTCATGGAGAGAAACTCTGTATTACATGGACTCCAATTAAACAAAAGAGATTAGGTAAAATTAACAATATGTCTAAATTTGATAACATTTGGGGCTCATGGGTGAAACACTTTCTTCCACCCAACTTTGAACACTGAATTCTCCATTTATTGGAGACCTGAACATGACTGATGGGCAGCCTTTACACTGGCCACTACACTGATCTACTTCTCCCCCCTCCCCTATTATTTGTCTCTCTTACTTCTCTTAGCTGTTGTTTACCCACCACTAACATGATGCCACCATCATGGACTTATCCTGCTTACTCTATGGGTCATGTTGCCTATACAGTACACTTCTGTGTAGTTTTTTTCTCATCACGCTAAGGATTAGCTGTTACTTAGTAAGGGGTTATCTTGTTTCCTGGTATGATACATCTTATCTATCTTGATCTGTATGTACCCATCTTTTTCATCTGAATTTATATCCATACCTACAATGTATCCATTTGGTGTGTATCATTGTTATTTTTTCTCTTTGTAAAATTAAAAAAATATATATATAAAAAAAATGACTGTGACAAAATATCTATAAATTTAATTGTCCTTCAGTTGACAGGCATTCACATTTTGTTGATGAAGATTACATAAGGGCGAAGGGTTAATCTGTTTCCATGCAACATTTCAGGAACTGAATTTAGTTGCCATCCGGATATTACAGCTTCTTGAAGGCTGAAAAATATAAAAAGTATTAATATGAATATTGCACATCATCTGTTTGTACCTAAAATTGTATATCAGTTTGTTTAAATGATTTCACATCAAGTATCTAAATCAAGGCTTAAAATTTCAAGTCTAGACCTACTAGCCAGGCAAAAACCTTACTCTCCACCAGTTGTCCCACCAAACCTTGCCCAGGTCCGTCCCCCAACCCCGCCCCGAACCCCGCCCCCTTAAAGCTTATGAAATTAAATTTTTCTTTAGAATAAAGAGTCCAAAATATAAAAAACAGCAATTATAACATAGCTTTAGCTTTATATAATGTTAACAGGGTGCAGATAAGATACCACAGTCAAAACTGGGACTCACCTTATTTTTACTCGCAAAATGCGAGCAGGCGAGTGGAAATTTTAAGCCCTGATCTAAATGATACTGCTTTAATACTATGAAATAAGGTGGAAATCTCTCACTTTTTATGCTGATATCTCCATTCAATCAGCGGTGCAAAATCATTTGAGTTTTTCTGTATCTTTAGAATTGAAACCTGTCAAAAGAGAAATTGTACCGCCATCATTACTGACCTTCTGAAATGACTACCGGTAGTTACTTGGCTATCATACTGATCCTTTTTATTTTTTTAATACATTTTGGGTCACTGAACTGTAATTGTACAATAAGTATAATACAGTAAGTAAAGTCATTAAAACTTTGCCTAAGTAAAAGTTGTTGTGAACAGCAGTCAAAGCTGGTCTGTGGATAGACAGCAATATTTTTCCAGCATATGATATACTTACTCAGCGGTGTGTTTCTGCCCAAACGTGGAAAGAATTGAAAAATGACTCCTAGGGCGGCTCGTATAATTCTACGGACTCTGTTAACTGCAAAAACAAGAAACATATAAATAAGCACATTGCAGACATGGAGGTGAAGGGACAGTTAAGGGTCAACACTGACAGTCCCCTTACCTGTAGTTAAATTCTTATTGCATATGTAAAGCTGACCCTTTTTTACGTTTTTGATAGAGTGTGAATTGGTCAGAACGGACATGGGCATTTTACAGTCTGCGGGCCACATCTAACTCTTTGACTGTCCCTGCCCGGCTTGCGGTCCGAACATGGAATGATCACCGACCTGTGCTCGGTTATGACTGGGTGACAGCGGATGTTCCGGCCTTCAAGGCCGGTCTATCCACTGCAAGCCATAGCCCAGAGCAGACCCCTTTAGTTGTTGGTTGCTGGGACCACTGGCGTCCTAACAACCAATGATGTCAAGTGCCCACCTCCTCTGCAGTCATTGATTGCTAGGACCGCTGTGTAGTCCTAGCAACCAGTGACATCAAATATATTCCCCGACCCCAGGATTACAGAAGGATGGAAGAGCATCTTCTTCTGTCCTCTCCTGCAGCCTGCTCCGCCTCTAGCCTACTAATACATTAGGAAAATAAGGTATGTGGGGACCATAATATAAGGGGGCACTCTAAAGGGAACAAACAATGTAAGAGGGCACTCTGATGGGGACAACTAATTATTAAATGTATTCATTGGAGTGCCCCCTACATTAGTTGCCCCTTACGATTTTTTTTTGTCAGTGTAAATGTGCCCACTGGAGGATTTACCCCCAACATTGGGGAATTAAACAATTTTCAGTTGTCATGGGCGACAGATGGCGAGGAGAAATCTTCCAATGGTAAAATCTTTTCAGGTGACATCTGTGAAAAAGGGGATATTGCTTCGCTATTGAGAGATCTTCTCTAACTGCATGCTGTATCTCTGGGACAGGAAATCTCCCCAATGGGACACAAAGAAAAGGAAACCTGATTAACTATTTGTAATCTATCAAAACCTAAAATATAATTGTGGAGGAATTAAATTTGTGGATTCCTTGTTTTAGTCTGGGCTTATTTTCTAAAGGAGTTGAGAAACCTCTCTCAAAGCATTGTGGGTCAAAATTATCAAAATTGGAGCAGGCAAAATCTGGAGCAATTGTGCATAGGAACCAATCAGCTTCTCTCTTCAGTTTGTTCAGTTAGACTTTCGAAATGAAAGAGAGAAGCTGATTGGTTGCCATAGGCAAGTGCTCCAGATTTTGTCTGCCCCAGTTTTGATAAATCCCCCTCTGTGTGAATATTCACTTCAGTTATCTAATCTTGATTTAGCATAAAAAATGAACAGGAATTTTGTTTTCTCATAATTGGATGACTGCAGTGAAAATTTACGCAGATTTTTGAGTGAAGACTATCAGCCTCTTATTCTCCCACTATGAGGAGCTATTCCAGCCCCAGGAGAGCACTCAGCAGCAGGGAAAGATTAAGACCAGGTGGGGCCCTTGATGGTCTCTTTTTTGGAACAAAATCCCTTGGTCCCTCTTCCCTACTAAGCTGCCTCTCTTTTTGATCTTATGAGTATACCTCTCTAAATAAATATATTATTTAAATACCAAAAGTGTTCACTGCACTAAACCTTTCATCCGACCGCTAAATTATTGTATTTGTTATTTTAAAAAAACAGTAGAAAGGAATGTACTGGTATAAAAAAGTACACATCGGGTGTAGTCGGTTATATTTTTGGGCATTCATTTGTAATTGTCCACGTAACGGGGTATGTGGCAGGGGCATGTGCTTCACCTCCATACTTTGTTTCCCTTGTTCCTGTCTCAGAAATTTAAGAGGTATACTTATTGCTTCTTACCGAAATCAAAATATATACCGATGGCTTCCAGAACGGCAAATGAAATCAGCCCGGATCCAGCAGAAACTGTCCAATCTGAAGAAAGGAAAAAAAAAAAAAGTCTACATTTTTTTGCCTTAAACTATACGCTGTACAAGAACGGCTGTATGGTGTTTTGTAATGTAGGATTCTACGTGCTCTTTTTAGGCTAGGCCGTCTAATTAGAGTTTTAAAAAAAGCCTATTTGCCTGGGGCTACATGGTCTGGGTCTCATTTTTGTATCTCGCATCTTGCTGCTTACAATGCAATGAATATTTAAATAACCATCATACCATTCTATGCACTTAGTGCGATGTGCACTCCTGACCCCTGCACTCTGTTCAATACCTACTTTTGACCCCTGCACTGCATTATGCATTCCTGAGCCCTTCGCTCTGCGAGATACCCACTCCTGACCCCTGCGAGATACCCACTCCTGACTCCTGCGAGATACCCACTCCTGACTCCTGCGAGATACCCACTCCTGACCCCTGCGAGATACCCACTCCTGACCCCTGCACCCTGCGAGATACCCACTCCTGATCCCTGCATCCTGCGAGATACCCACTCCTGCACCCTGCAAAATACCCACTCCTGACCCCCTGCACCCTGTGAGATACCCACTCCTGACCCCTGCACTCTGTGAGATACCTACTTCTGACCCCTGCACTCTGTGAGATATTAAAGAACAGTATCCCCTTTCTCTCCAAACTTACCTGAGAACTTATAATTAAGCACCAAACCTGTTCCCGTGGCAAAACACAGAATGATGAAATGAAAGAATATATCTAGACGTAAGAGAGAAAACAATGAGTAAGACAGATATTAACCCTACACCTATGAAAGTACCCATGAGCATCAAAGTCCATTGACAAATAACGTTTTTTTGGGGCTTGTATCAGTAGAATATCAGTAGATCATAATACATATTATATAATGTTGTATCAGTAGAACAGTAGATTATGGTTTGAACATTAATTGACCATTAGTTTTTTTATACATTCTGTTTATTGCACAGAAATTGAACAGTTTTGCAGATTTCCAAAGCTCTAATGGTGGATGAGTAGTTTTCTGTCTTGGAGTGTTGGTGATGTTACTTTTCACATTAAGGCTCCTGGGATGAGGTTAATGGTTCAGTTAGTGTTACCACATGTTCACTTTCAGGGATGTTAAATGTCAGGATTAGGGTCAGGGGTGTATCGACCACAAGGCAAACTAGGCATTTGCCTAGGGCAGCACTTTCCAGGGGTGCGGCAGAAAACGCCACCCCAAACCAATGAGGCGGAGAGGGCCGGACTTGCATTTGGCCCAGTAGGCCGAGGCTGGGCGGCACAGAATCAGGCAGCGGCGGCACAGAATCAGGCAGCGGCGGCTACCTAATGAGGCCAACTAGGCGGCGGCAAGGCCCTAAGAGCGGCTGCCTAATTAGAAAGCTGCCCGGCGGAGGGGAGGGCCCAGTGAGATGCGGTCTGGCTGACTTTGTACAGGAGGTCCACCTGGAGAAGCAGCGGGTGGCTCGGGGCTGGCCATAGCATGTGATCCGATGGCAGGATGTCCCAGAAGCAGGCTGCTACTGCAATGTATCCTGCTGGTACTGATGGCACTTTGAGCTGCAGGTAAGAGGAGCAGCACATGTATGCAAGGAAAGGGACTATGCACAATCCTCCTGAGACCCTGCACAGTCCACCATAGACCCCACACAGCCCGCCATAAACCCTGCACAGCTCTCCTGAGACCCTGCACAGCTCTCCTGAGACCCCGTACAGCCCACCTGAGACCATGCACAGCTCTCCTGAGATTGAGGGGTTGCCCGAGTTTAGTCTTGCCTAGGGCAGCACAAAACCAAAATACACCACTGATTAGGGTGAAGGTTAAGCACTAGGATCAGCCAACATGTTAAGAGTTAATTGTAGGGGTTAGGTTGTAGGGTTGGGAAGGTTCATTTAAGGCCTCGATTAAGTGTGAAGGGTTCAGGTTGGGGAAGAGTTAAATGTCGAGGACTGCTTTACAGTTCAGGTTTAGGGACAATTAGAGAGCTCCTTTATTTGATTTAACTACACCAAAAGTTCTTTGCAGAGAACACAATCTTATTGCATACTGCCGAAGTAGGTATAAGAGTCAGTTTAAGAACACCACCACTGTCCTATAGTTAGGAACTCAGGATATAACAGACTTCACCTATCGGCATTTCTTTTTAGCCTTTATTTTTGACTTATTTTCTCTTTTCTTATTCTTCCCAAAAGGTTTAGTATAACATAACGTACAATTCAGTAAAATGCAATAAAAAAAAGTGGATGTATGCTCCAGTGTTGACCTAAAAATGTGCTTGCAATCTTGCCTGGGATGGATAAATAAAAAGCCAAGGAATGGGCTGAAATACTTAACGTTCCTAGAGAAAAAGTTATTCCAGACCGTCTCTAGTGCTGGTTGCATGACCAAGAGCCTAGGTTTTAGGTCACATGATTTAAAAATATCACATGGTGGGAAGGGTTATCCAATCTGAAATCTGATTTTCTTATTTAGCAAAGATCACATAACTTATTGTGTTCGCTTTTGGTTATGTGATTGCCACCTGAAGCTGATTATTTTAATATTAGAGTGCAGGTCACTATTGATACAGTGTTAAGGTCTTTACAACAAAGAACTATTATTAACTTTTGTTTATATACTTTTTGTTAACTTGTGACTCAATGACAACTTATCTCATGGCTTCTTAAAGTAAACCTGTACATAATAAAACTCCAGCACAATCTACTGTGGCTAGGTGAAAACCAAAGTCACTTTAAAGGCTTTTACACTAAATCAGACATCCATAATCAAATTTACCATATGACACAATCATTTAGATATTACATAAATGTACGCTTTGCATATAAACAACATACCGCTTTTGGTTTTGTCCCAATTTCTACGCAGTCTATCCCAATTCTCTTTGTTACGCACTGAAAACAATATAGAATAATAGAAAAATTAGAGAGCCATTGTAAAGAATTATCTAATGTGACTTCTAGTTTAATAAATAAGCCAGGTACCTGACATGTTTTGGTCTGTTAACCCAAAGGCTGCTCAAGGCATTTAATATATATTGATACCCCTTAACATGCACCTGCCATGTCCAGGTCAAGGTTACCAATGGGGATTTCCTATAACATGGGCTGACATCAACATGGAGAATGTTGAAGCAAGGTTCCCTCCTGGTTGTTGATTATCATATCAATTTTCCTTACTCTGTAAAAAACATAATTGGCAACATCATGCCAATAACATCTTGGCATACATTAAAGCTAAAATCCACATAAATGGGATCACAACTGTGTTTTTTTTTTGTTTGTTTTTTTAAATCTCCAGCTGCTGGCCATAATCTGGAAAAATTGGGAGTTGGTACTCCTTGACTTGAGTGCGTGGGTACCGGGAACATGACAAGTGAACTGGTAAGGGGTCAAAAGACTACTTTACTAGTTCACAGAGAAAAGTGGAACTAATAAATTATTTAACCCAGCAAATATTTGTGAGTATTTAGGTATTTCCTTAGCTAAACTGAATTATAGTTCAGGAGCATCAAATCATTTTTTGAAGGGTATCAAGAAAGTAACATGAAAGCGATAGTAAGGTTCAAAATATTTTTTAAGCTAATTTAAATGCTTTTGAAATCACTTATAATGGATGCAGCTCCTTGATGTTTAAAGTAGGGATGTCCCGATACCGATATACACGCATCGGTATCGGGACCGATACAGGACATTTTGACAAGTACTTGTACTTGTCAAAATGCCCCAATACATAGCGCCGAAGCTTGCGCTATGTTTTGTTTTTTTCTTTACTGACCTTGCCGAGTGTCACGTCACTACTTCATGCAAGCAGGGGAGAATTGTAAATCTATTGCTGCAGTGTATTCTATATGCACTGTACTATATACGACATATAGCATGCGCGGCAACAATAGATTTACAATTATCCTCTGCTAATATGAATGGGTTAAATGATCCGTAGTACATAATATGTAGTCGTACTATGGATCATTTAACCCATTCATGTTAGCAGTGCAGAATTGTAAATCTATTGCTGCAGTGTACTCTATATGTACTGTACATGTACAGTACACACTCCCAATTCACCGCAGCAATAGATTTACAATTCTCTCCTGCTAACATAAATAGGTTAAATGATCCGTAGTGCAACTACATGTTAGGTACTATTATGTACTATCGATCATAATTTAACCTATTCATGTTAGCAGGGGACAATTGTAACTCTAATACTGCTGTGTACTGGACGTGTGTGCTGTATATGTACTATGGATCATGATTTAACCTATCCATGTTACCAGGGCAGAATTGTGAGTGCCTCCCACAAGCTGAGCCCTGAGACGCGATGCACCGATCCTGATCAACGCTGACTATAAGAGGCACAGCGTGAGGCAACAGGGATCGGAGTGAAACTGTGAGTGAGGGAAGCTGGGACAGGGCTGGCTGTAAATCTATTGCTATAGTGTACTGTAAGTGTGTATATGTAGTACATATATACAGCACACACCTCCACTACACTACAGCAATAGATTTACAATTCTCCCCTGCTAACATGAATAGATTAAATCATGATCCATAGTACATAGCATAACATAACAGGCCTTAATGAGGTTATAAGTTACAAACCGTTCCTATGCTAAAAGTAAAGTGTTTGATTTCCTTGTAGCAATCACAGATTACTGCTATATAATATATTATTTGTAACACAATATACAAAAATGAGTTGTTGATGAAATATGATGTATTGATATATTTCTTTATATTTAAAACAAGAAAAGAAAAAAGTATGCTCAATATGTCTCTTGAAGTAATGTTAATGGCGATGCCCACTGAACTGCTGTGTGAGCATGGGTGCGGATGTGGGGGGCCTTTACATAGGGGTTAAAGAATTGGTTGGATACCTTAGATACTTTATATTTGTGTGGCCTGGCCCCCTCTAAAACTGACTAAGCCTGAAGAAGGCTGGAAAAGGGTTAATCCTTTTGTTTTGAAGGTTCAATTGGGACTTCCTGACAGGAAGTGACACATTCTCTGCATATTGATGGTTTTTCGAGGTTTTCTTCCCTATGCGCTTCAAGCCTCTTTTTGCGCGGATGTGCGCGCAAACGGCCCCTACGCCGGACATGACGTCATAGACGTTTTGGCGTACGGCGAGGAGAGATATAAGTGGAGATGGGGGTTTTGACACTCTCAGATAGTTGGAGCTCAGGAGAAGGTATAGAAAAGAGAACTGGCTACTTTTGTGGTAAGAGACAAACTTATGGAGACTTTTGTTTGTTGCTTTGATTAGATGCACCTTTGTGAAAAGGCCTTACAGGCCTATGTACCTTTCCTTTTAAGGATGTGTCGTTATCTTAGAATGTAATAGTGACATACCTCATTGGTTTTACTTAGGGGCTGTGTTTGGAGCCCAAGTTATTGGCTATAGAATGCACACCAGTGAAGGAAATTGATAATGTCAGGTAACACGATAAACTATATTTATTTGTACCCACTTGGGCAGATTCCCTGATAATCTCTTAAAGAGTGTTCATTGTTCTTTCATAGGTGTGATTTATACAATACTAAGAAGAATTTCTGAGATGTTCTCACCCAATAGAAAATCTGGCCTCTTTTGAAACCTCTCTCACTTTGTAGTTTCCTGCTTTGACTTGGGGGTTATCTTGCTCTCTGCCCCATTTCTATTGAGCCCTCCCCGTCCGCGCCTATGATTGAGTGTTGGTCAGTGGTGGATCCAGCCATCTTTACAGACTATTGTAAGTTTATTAAATTAAACAAACTGCACTAAGTATTCAAATGCATTTGCATAGGAAAACTATGAACCCTTTGTAAATAAAAAATATGATTTTCTTGTAGAAAGACAGTTCCTGAAGAAGTGGATCTCCGTGAAACGTGTTGAAATCTGTTCTCCTCCCACGGGACTACAAATTAAATTAGGAAGCTCATATCCAGCAAATTGTAACATGTATCGCAATATAGATAAAAATGTGGGAGGATGCGGCTACATCCTATGGTCTTTTTTAGGCAATTCTGTTTGTCTTTCTTTTTTAAAAACCATGCATTTTAAATATATTTATAAATACAAATTGTTATACTTTATATAAAAACTAAATATGTTTCGTGTGATCCTTGAAGTACCTTTAAAGTCCAAACTCCTTTTTTTCCCTTTTCTATAGTACATAAAATGTAGTCGTTCGATGGATCATTTAAAGTCACCTGTCCCTTTAAGAAAAAGTATCGGTAATTGGTATCATCAAGTACATGAGGGGAAGTACTTGTACTTGGTCTTGAAAAAGTGGTATCGGGACATCCCTAGTTTAAAGGTTTTCGTTTTCTGCAGACACAGCTGGTCCCCTGAACACTGGCCCTGATATCCTGTTTTAGGGTGGCTCCTTTGCCTTGCCGGGTCCTATGGAGCCACCCTTATGTCTGCTCCTCCTTCCTCCCTTCTCCAAGCTAGTAGATTGGCACCTGCTGAAGACTGCCGTGTTTCTTGTGATATTTAGGACTGCAGCAACTAATCGACTAAGTAAATTATAATCAATGATGGAAAACGTAGTCAACGCTTTCCATCATCGATTAGATGACTTTCAATTAGTTGGCCTGCTAGTGGCTCCACACATGACGCTTCTCCTCCCTGCCTCACCCAGCTCTCATGGACTCGCCGCTCGCCGCACCGCACACCGAACACCACATGCCACTTCTCCTCTCCGCCTCACCCAGCTCTCACGGACCAGCCACATGCCTCTTCTCCTCCCTGCCTCACCCAGCTCTCACGGACCAGCCACATGCCTCTTCTCCTCCCCGCCTCACGCAGCTCTCACGGACTTGCCGCTGCCCGCCCATCCACGATCAGCACACTGAACTTAAAGCCAGGAGGAGCAGGCGTGGGGCCCACGAGACAGACCCACGATCTCAGAAAAAAGTTGCTTGGAGAGTGTTTAGGTAAGATTGCTTGCACTTTCCCCCCACATGGTGCTGTATTAATGTATTGCTGTGATAGTGGGATTTGTATTCCTCTATAGCTGCTGGTACATTGCGCTGTATATTATACAGAGTACAAATCTGTTCTGTACAAATATACAGAATACAAATCCCAGCAATACATTATACACTATATGTATAACATATTGCTGGAATTTGTTGTATTTCTCTATAGCTGGTGGTATTCTACATTGCGCTGTTTAATGATTTTACAGCCCAATGCAGGATACCACCAGCTATAGAGGAATACAACAAATCCTTGCAATAATACATTATACTATACTGTAGTCCCCATGGTCCCTGTGTGTGTTGTAAAGTAGTCACCGCTCCAAGCTTGCTCCCGTGATGCACTACAATCTCAATACAAACTAGTAGTAAATCACTGGAGCCATTTTTTTTTTCATTTGTAATTATTTTTATCCGATTAATCGAACTTAATAAACGGCTAACTAATCGATTTTGAAAATAGTCATTAGCTGCAGCCCTAGTGATATTATACTGCACAGGAAGTTCAGGGAAGCAGGCATGAGAGTTGGAGCCAGCTGTTTGGAAACATGATGACTGTAAGCGTTTGGGTAAAAAGCTAAAGAAATACTTTGCAGGGCAATGTATATTTATTTTATCTGGATTCATTATTGAAAAAAAAGTTTGAGAGTTTAATACTAGTTTAAAGTTATATAATATTTAAAAAAATAACTAAAAAAGTGATACAAAGGTTGCAAATAGGAGTCAATAAAATACTACCTGCAACTTTGCCGGAGGGCTTGTTGTTTTCATCCTCTGTCTCTTCCAACATCTCTTCTGTTAAAACAACACATCCCGGTTTACAGAGAGAATATTACTGGCTACTGGTGATAAAGTGCAAATAACAAAAGTCCACAGCAAACAGTTGTGAATGCCCATGTGTTGTTATGGATTAGTC